TCTGAATCATCCTTTGGCTCTTACCTCTCCATTTTGACTGTATAGGTTGCTCAGGCATCTAGCTCCATTTGTTTAACTCATCCTGCTGGGACCAAGTGCCTAATTTTTAAACATGGTAAATGGTGTCTGCTGAGTTGATTTGGCTTTTACCTTGTGTGGATAGTAATATCCCTATCCTTTTTAAAATCTTGATAAGGTCACAGTCTTCATGATATCTTGTAGAAATGAGTCCCACAGGCTCATTGAGCAGTATATGATTTTTTTTTAGCAGTTTTTAAAACTATTTGCTGCTTTTCAGTTTTGTTGCACATTCCCCTTTCTTCCATATCATATACAAGATCAGGCATTTCTATTCAGCCTGCCTTCTCTAGACTAATCATTATGTACTGTGTCTTTTTACCAAGTCTGAGGGAAAAGAAGCAGCAGCTGACCTGCTAAATCAATGCTGGTGACAGCAGCTCAGGTAAGCACATGTGCACCCAAAGATAAACACCCACCAACGCTGCTGAATGTTCCTGTATTCTTGTGCTCCCTTCCTACCTCCCTCCTGAAACTCAGCCATTAAGCCCTACAATTCTCATCTTCCCAGCTCCCAAATCCCTCTCATTCACACTTCTGTGATTGACCACTGTATTCCGTTCCTGCACTGCCCCTTCCTTGCTATTAGTGCAATGAACAATTTTTCTGTATCTGCACATCCTAAGAAAACTGGCAAGCTGCACAGAGAAAATGGGCAATGGCAGCTGGACCGAGGCTGCCTGAACAGCCAATTAAGTGTCTTGTTTGCCTGGTTTAGGGTTTGGTCTTGCAAACTGGTGAACATCCTAGTCCCAGCCCCAAAAAAGGTTTGCTTAACTTTTAAACATGAAAGCAATCCTAATGGATGTTCCTTCACTAGGGGATAAAATTGCTTGTACCTTGCCCAGCCTACAAGTGGGCATGTTCTGACCCAAGGAAGAATCATTTTCACACTTGCTAGCAAGTCCAGGTAAAGACAGAGGAGAGTTTAGAGTTTAACTTGACCTGAGAACTCATGTTAAACCTACAAACTGCCTTGTCTAGCATAGGGTTTTATCTCACACTAGTTATAATGTGTTGGCTTACCTGAGGTAAGAATACCCTTCTTCCTAGAGAAGGCCTATGAATGAAATGAAGTGACTCATACTTGGAGTTACATGCACATTCTTCAGTGCTTTGTTGGATGGGAGCCAGAGAGCTCAGTACTTTGCAGGATTGGGGCCCAGCTGCTGTGATAAGGGGAATGCTCACAACCATCTGTTCTCATTGAAGTGATCTCAGTTGATGTTTAAATGTTTAATCAATGGCATAATTCACTTATTGGCTTCTATTGTTTGCTAAATGCTAACAATGTGCTCATCCTATTTAAATACTTTCAACAAGAAACCTTTCTTTAAAATGACTAATTTTTGTCTTATTTACAGTATTTTAATTAATAATTTTATTGCCATCCCCTGTGATTTTCATATCCTTAATTACCAACAGGAGCAACACAAAATATCTGAAGAGCCTTATTGCTTGTGCAGAAATTAATCTAAATTCCTCAAAGTATTATTGGTTGGTTTTGGTTTAATCAAACAGATCATAGGCTTACAGTTGTGTCATGTTACACTTAGAATATGTTAACTGCACTTAGAATTTGAATATCTACATATACAAGCAGTAAGACACGTTAAACGTTATCATATTATAACAAAGTTATAATATTTTGGGGGAGGAGTATCTCCAAATCTTGTAATGTGCTCAGCTACAGAGATAATACAAATTCAAGATTCCAGTGCAGTGCTAGGGCTAGGACCAACAATCAGCTGATTGTGAGTTGTAGCCCTGGCATTACATCAGAGCCAATTCAAGACTGCCAGCAACAAAGACCCAGCTTATGCTACAGATCCAGAAGCATGAGCAGCACCTCCTCCTGGGCTTGGCTCCCCATGCCTTCCTCCAACCGTCAGCAGTGGAAACCCAGGTCACTCTAGCATGCCAGGGATAGGTGCTCCCCGGCTGGGCATGGGGGTTGTACTTCCTCATGGGTAGATGTGCAAGCTGTGACACCTACAGGTTTCCTTGCTTTATGCAGGTGCTCTATGTGCAAATTCGCTCTTATAGGATTACTCTTTTTATACCAAAAATTCATTATATGCGAAGTAAATTCACTCTTATGGGATCAGTGTGGTGGAAGCCCGCAGTCAGCTGCTTTGTGTGGTGCATTGATGCACACCAACATATAGTCTCTTGTGTGGATCTGTGCTTCTTGCTCATTGTCTGCAACATGTGTTTCTGTAGTTGCCATCCGCATTCTGATAGTGCCCTGTACTTATGTGTACTGTCTGCTGCTGGTGAATACCAAAATTGTCTTGTAAAAGTGGTAGAAGTGGGTCTTGGGATCAGTAGAGTCAAGGTCTTGGAACATATCCCTATTTGTTACATTGTAAAGTGGGTTCCTTTTATGCAAATTTAAGTTATGCACCGTACAGCATAAAGCAAGGGAAACCTGGAGTACCAGAGTCAGTATGGGGGAGATGGCAATGATGCACAGCTGGCTCCAGCCCTGTCTAGAATAGGCTGAGATCATAAGCATTGTAACTGCTCAAAACATATTTTAACTTGTAATGCAGTGTTGTAATACTTACTATGATCTCAGCTAAAATGTGCTGTGTTTCCTATGGAATAAGACCCTTAGATTCCAACCTTATACAATAGATTGCTTTCCACCTGCAGAGCCTCACTGACATCTATAATGATCTGTATAAATCCAGGGGTTTACTGGTTTGTGTTCATTTGCAGAACTGAGCTGTAGAACCCAGTCCTGAGAAACTTTGTGTGGGCAGGCCTTTCCACCAGCAGAAAAGCTGTCTAATTTCAGTAGGTCAACCCTGGAAACACATTTCCATTTGGAAAATGTACCACATTCACCAAATTTATTCTTATAAAATTCACCGTTTTGTTTAAAAAAAAAAAAAATAGGTGCTTGCAGTATTCCATGTTTGTGCGTCTAAGCAGCTGCTTTCAAATATAAACCTATCTAATCTACAGGTTAATCGTTTTGAAAAAAAATACATCAGGATTAAAAACAATTCTATATCATCTTCAGGTGGCAAAATATTTTAGACTATTTGGAAGTAAATACATATAGAAAAGGTACATGAAAGTTTGTAAAAATTCAGCATGGGGAGGTATTTTTATTTAGTCTCTGTACTTCAGAATAAGGACTCTCTTTTATGATTTGCTACTGAAGTGCTTACAATCTAAATAGACAAAAACAGAGAAATAGCGGATGTTCAAAGAGATCCGGAGCAATAACATTACTTGCCAAGAACACTTGGATCAGTGTCTGAGACAGTAAGAGAACCTGGGGTTTCCTGTGTCCCAGTTAGTGGCCTGTCAGCTTGACCCCCAGAACTTCCTTGCAGCAGTTCAGTTTGCTTCCTAAGCCATTTAGTCTAGCAGAGAGAAGGGAACTGAAAAACATGAGCCAATAAATGACAGGGTTCATTTTAAGTTATTCTTAGCAGCTTCATGAGGATAGGACTTTGGCTGGGTAAAGAAAATAGCACTGACCTGTGGCCTTCCCTAGCCCTCCTCAAAGAAGGCAGGTTTTTGAAGGACATTAACCTCAAAACCAAAAAAAGCCACCCCTGCATGAAAGTGCTCCATATTTATGTGCCTCAAGTAGAGCTGGTTGAAATATTCTGGACTAGGAGTGTCCCTCTCCTAAACATGGGTTTTTGTCAAAAAAAATAATCAATATTATCCTTGAGGGAAAGTCAGTTTCAACAGAATGTTTAGGTTTTGGGTTGACAGAATTAAGATTGGAAGAAAAAAAAAAAAAAGTTTTAGTGCGAAATAACTTTCTATTTAGAAACATTTTGGAATTTCTCATGTTAATTTTTCTCTCTCTCCTCTTTTGGAAAGGAAACAAATCCTAAGTTTCTTGCTGCATGAAAGTTCAGTTTCCTGATCAGTTGTAGTTGTAAGATTTTTTTCCTTTTTAAACTCTTCTTTAGAAGTTTTTAAAGCACAGAAATTGTCAAGGCATTTGCATGTAAAACAAAGGCACAGCACATGTGCAATAGTTGCACTTTTTACATCTATTTAGTTTTTCACTTACTTTATCCAAAGGTCAGAGGCACTCCTAAATCTGAAAGACATATGTATTATTTATGTATGCTGAGAAAAATCTGCTTGCTTATGCATGGAAAAAGAGCAGTGGGGTTTCCATCGTGATATGTAGGCCCTGCTTCTACAATTGAATCAACCCTCTCTTTCAGTAGGACTCTGTACACATGCAAAGGTTCATTGGCATGGATCCAGCCACAAGCTGATCACCTATTTTTGTCTATGGCAAGTGTATGCAGACTGTGTAGAGCAGGACAAATTCAGCATGGCATAGCTAAAACAAACACCCATTGTTTTGTTGTTACATTTTGGCAAACAATAGTATATCATAATGCATTGCAAAAGCTAATTCATACAAAAGTAAGATGCCAAAGAGACATGGAGCTTTATTATTATTACTACTTCCTAATCTAACAAGTTAATACTATTTAAGAGAGAAAAAAGAGCCTGTGTGTCAAACCTGATCTTAAAATATTAACTAATGTTTGTGCCTACTGCACGGCACATGTGCTACATAAAATCTTCTCCTATTTTGGACATCCATATAATAGACAGGCTGGCAAACAATGGGGTAAAGATAAAAATATGTGGTCTTCATTCAGAATTTCCTTATGGTTGTCTGCTTTATTCAAGCCTACTTTTTTGTATTTGCACCTTTAATCTTGCATCCAACAAGAATCATTTAGTTCTCCCAAGTTTCCTTTATGCTGCTTTAACCATTTCTCTCGTTGATTTAAGAGGGACACAACTAGTTTTGAATTGTGGAAGCCATGTGCACACTTAATTTACTAAGTCATAGGAAGGCACTGTGGTATCCCTGTGGCAACCTTAATACAAGAGCAGAAACTAAAGTGCACATTCCCCCCCCCCTTTGTCCAGTTGTACAGACCTCACATCTGGTGTTTTCAGGCTCATTTCCAATTACAACGGAGCTGCGGCTGTTCCTTGCCTACAAGGAAAAGAGAGTTCTAAGAGGGGAGGGAAACAGCACACAAATGAGAACAACTCAGTCCTTTGCTAACAGGAAGAACAGCAATCATGCAATGACAGGGTATTGCCACTACTTGTGGTATTTTTGTGATAAATATCGCTCCTGTTATTGGCACAACAAGTAGGAAAAGTAACCGGGAAAGAAAAAAGCAGACTAAAAATTATATCAAACACTGTTAACTTAATCTGACATGCAAATTTTCCTCTTTGCTCAATTATTAGAAATCCAGCAAGCAAGGGCAGAGATTACACTAGCCAGGCCTCTTTCCTTCCCCCACCAATCCCTTCCAGCACTGTTCTATGGAAGGGAGACAGATTCTCAAGGGTAGTAGCAGATGCTTCTTTTTGCTCTGTCATTTAAAACCTGGGCAGGAAAGCAGACTACAAAAATATAACAAGGAGAAATGTTGCTTGGCAGGAAGATGGTGATGAGCTGGTAGGTCAAAGTCCATCTCCAATTTCTGTAATGCAGACAACTGACAAAAAGAAACATGCAATTGTGACAACAGGTAAGTGGATGCTAGTTCTTCCTGTTAGTGACACTTGCTGCCTGAGTAGTAGCTGAGAGTAACTTGTGCAGCTGGTATTTCCCAGGTGTGTTTGTGTGCTGTAAAGGGAGAGAACACCAAGGTGTTAAACTGACACAGGCAAAGATTCAAGCATCAGCATCTGGTACTAACAAATGTCAGGCCTTTTGGTAATTTACAGTCATAAAACCAGCCTGTTATTACTGGAAAAAAAGCCAAGGTCTTGTAAGACAATAGTCTTGTTAGATAAACTTGACTTCAATGGCAGTCTGACAAAATTTAAGACAAATACCTCATTTAGTACTGTAACCTGACCGTCATGGAATGGAGTCCCCTGGGATGGCCGTGATACCCCTAGGGCTCCTTGACCATGCCAATCCTGCCCCATGGGCATCCTCTTTCGTCTGCCATGTCTTGCTGTAACTATAATAGATGGGGAGGCTGCCCTTGAGTTTGCATTGTTGGACATGGTCCCAATAGACCCCAGTGAATCTTGTGGGTTCTCAGACCCCTTTTGGGTCTCGCTCCGAAGTGGATGCCTCTCAGGACACCCTCAGCATTATGGGCTAGATACATGGCTCCAAACTGCCCCTTTACTATGCCCCAGGCCTCACAGATGGCATTCACACAGTGTCCCTCTGAGGCCTTAGTTTCACTTGGCCTCTGGTCATCACTGGGCTCTCTGCAGCCCTCTCTCTTTCCCAGCACCAGTGTGGACATGGAGAAGCCTACGCACCCCAGATACCACACCCACACTGGGGTCCATGTGTGGTAGTAGACCCCCAATGAGGCCTCCTTTCCCCGATAGCCTCTGCCCAATCCACCAGCTTACAAACAGAAATCAAAATACAAGCCCCTGGGCTGTAACATAATGCAAGCAGCTCAGGGTGTGCTCTGTCCTTTTAAATGAACCACTCTTCCCCCAGCACAACATACCTTGTAGGCCAGGGCCTGGTGAGCTCCTGAAGTCCCTTAATCTTACCAGAAACAGGAGATGAGGTATCAAGTCTCTTCAGTTAGCTTCCTCTCAGAGAGCTTCTTCCCCCTTAGTTGCTAGCACAGCACTCCCTCTCTGGTCCCAGCCCTGGTGTTTATATGTGCCCAGGGCCCTGCCTCTTCCAGTCAGCTGACCACCTGCATGTGCAGGCTAATTCCTGCCTTCCTGCTGTCATGGTAACTTGCAGCTGAGGTGTTCCTGAGTGACTGCTAAGGCTCTCTCCTTAGGCAGTTTCAGCCCTTAAAAGAGCAGGCACTTTAGTGCCCTGCGACACTGACTCCTGCTTTCTTTCATTGCTTTTCACTTGAAATCCCCTGCAATGGTGTTTCCCAAACCTTGTGGGTTTATGCCCCATCACAGTGAAACTGGTAACTCTTGTGCCTCCCTGCTTTGTCATCACTACTTGATTGCTGCCAGCTGCCCTCACCAGTGGCAGGAGGAAGCAGTGGTGGCAGCAGCTGAAGGAGAGAGAGGGGCACTGGCGTGGTTGAAGTGGGGGGCAGCATCACCACTTCCTACCATGATTTGCATGTCTCCTCCCTCTCCACCCAAAACTTTTGCACAACCCACAGTTTGGGAAATGCTGCCCTAAAATAACATGGCGAGAGATTAGGAAAAGCAAAATTAAAGCAGGATGAAAAAATCATTTTAAACCTGGTTCAGATGTCACTCCACACTCTTCTGTCCAAGATAGAATAAGGTTCACTGTTTGCATAGGTCCTTCTTTATCCAACCATCCTGCCACACTTTTCATGAAGACACATAGCCTCTGAAAATCCAAGTGTTCTGTGCAGGTAGATTCCTCTGGCCTATGTGAAATCTACTAGCCAGTGAGGCTCAATGCCACTTCCCATGCAGAATAATATGCTGGGTTGGTGTCACACTGTCCAGCTGTGCCATGTGAGAGAGGACTATGGGATCTGACCCTTAAGGCATGAAGATTAGTCTTAACCCTAAAGTTGAAAGGCGTGCTTCTGATATTTTTTCTAAAGCATCAGTTAAAGGCCAGATCCTGTTTCAATAGACACGTATGTCAGTTGGGGGTCACAGCGTTCTGAAAACCCATTTACCAAGAAATCCTTTGCTGCCTGAACCTATAGGAAGCAGTGTGGTTAGCCAGCAGCTCTGCCAGCTCCAAGAACTGTGTTGGAACTTAGTTGGGAAACAGGCAACAAAAGGTCTGAGTACTACAATCCTTGCCCCCGGCTTCATTTTAATATCTGGTATTACTATCAGTAACTGTTTAAGAACACTTGTCAAAACTGCCTGAACATTCACCACTGCACTAGACTGCCAGATTGGTGCTACTGAAAGATCACTTGTGGAAGGCATGGGGTTCTGCTGTAAACTGTTCATAAAAATAAGTCTCTCTTTAATATTCTGATCTAGTTATACACTAACAGCAGCTTTAATAGTTACGGACAATCAGGTACTTATGGTAGATGTTTCAGAAGAAATAACAGGGCGTTGCATGTCTGTCTCAAATAGTTTAGTCCTCTGGTTAAAACACTGTAAGAAGCTCCTTCAGTTGCCTCGTGCTTACTGAAATTCAATATGCTTTGAAGGAGCCAGATACATCTAATTTGGGTTCTCATCTCCTTGTTTCTTTCTTCCAACTGTGGGAATAAAATGATGAAGAGAAAAATCAAAATAAAGGTAAGATGCAAAAGCAGTCAAAACACTTAGTTTATGAGGCCTGCACCATGCCAAGATAGGGAGTGAGAATTACAGATGCACTTAATGCATGTCTGCCATTTAAAAAAATCTTCAGATAGGCTAAATATACCCAATGGGCTCAATATTCCAAATGCAGATACTCTAATAGGACATTAAAATCTTGTACTAGGGTGCTCAAATTGGCACTTAGGTACATGAAATAGGAATGTACATACCTACATATTGATCTTCCATTCAAATGCAGAATTTGAAAGTCCTAATAAGGTATGCACACTGAAAACAAGGCTCCTGTGCTCAGGGGTTACAAAGAAGACATAAGATGAAACTGAAGAAATAGGCTGTAATCAAGGTTTTATTCCAGAAATTTATCCTCTTTTTCTGTTGCAAATAATCCTTGAATAGTTAACAATTTTCTGAATTTGTTCTGTTTTTAATTTTTTTTGTAAATAATTTCTGTGAATAATTGCTGATCGTGAACTGTTCTATGAATACATCAAAGGATCTTAAATATCAACACTGTTTGTTAGTTGTTTTTTTTTAACTAGACACCCAGGTCAAAGGTTAGGAAAATGTTTTGCGCATCTATACTTATTTTTATGGCTTCAAAAGTTTGCTTTTGCTGAATATCCTCTAATATTCATTTAATCCATTCTAACAACTATTTCTGCCTGTAAATTCATTCACTGAACTATGTGCAGCAAGTGAGGGAAAAAGGGCAAGGAAAATGTAAAGCAGCAGCTTTTTATCAGTGTAAATGCACAGAAACTTTTAAAGCAATTGTTTACATGTAGAAGGACTCAGGGTGCAGACAGGAGGGACAATTTTGCCTGATCTGGCCAAAGAGAGCAGTTTATAGCTGTGACCAAACATAAGTGCACAGCTGCAAACAGCTTCAAAAATCACTTAGGTGAAAAATCTGACCCCTCATTGCATGAGGTATCAGATAAAGACATTTAAAAATGTATCATCTTTTGTAACTTGTGTCTAGGGAGCTCTCAGTGTGTTGCAGTTTTCAGAATGGGAGAGAGAAAAGGGAGCAGAGGGAGTTCAGTCTGGGGGTTTTCAGTCCCTCTCCCCTCCCAGAGTAGGGCAGGTGTACTGGAGCCCACCTGATGTGGGGGAAGGGGGACTCCAATTCACCCACCCCACCCTTCAGCAGCAGCTGGGGAGCCCCAAGAACAAGTCCCCTCCACTGCCTTTCCCCCTTCCCATTCTGAAAACAGTGAGCGCTGGCAAAGAGCCCCGGCCATTGCTAGGGGAACCTGGCTGCAGGCTCCCAGCCCCAGGTAGATTCCCCTCCCCCCTGGAGCCAACAGTCAACTTCTGTTTGGTCTGGGGTAAAGTAAATCAGAACACTTTGCAAAAATGGTTTTCAGTTACAGCTGAGAGCTGCACTTCTGTGTCACTGAATACTCACTTGGGTTTGGTGCTACATTGTATGCAGAAGATGTCACAATTGCTAACTCAGTTATTTAGAGTTCAGGACCTTGATCCTGCCATCAGATCTGTGGCTGGAGCCTTGGAGAGTTCGTCATGTGGATCCAAATCCAGAATCAGAACCTAAATTAGAACAGTACTGTTGTTAGAACCTGGCACCATATAGCACACTCCAAAGGTCAAGAAAATGAACTTCTTGGAGCTGCTACTCACTTGGACTCAGACCTCTAGCCTCTGGCTGCCACTATCTAGGGCAGACCAGGCATTAGAGTTTGCTGAAATACACATTACAGTGGGGCTCCAAACTGCTGGAGTGGGAAGAGGGAGTCAGGAACGATTCTTGCAAGGTTCCTATTGCTGGACATATATAATTTGGGCTGCCACACTGTAGCTCTTTGTCCAGCCCATCTATCCATGTCCAGCAATGGGAACTCAAAGGAGTTTTATGGGAGGGGGTGGTATGTGTACTGAGCATGAGACGACAGCACGATGAGTAATTGGAAAAGCTCACATTGTATCAAAAGCTCAGTCTTGCCAGCCCTGATTTTTGTATAATCCTTATGCCAATGAGGATTTCCAGAAATAAGCCCAGCGAAATCAAGGGACTTACATCAGTCATATAACTATTGTCTGGAATCAGGCCTCAAGTAGCAAAGGTGGGGCTGGCACTGATGGATGCGAAAAACCTCGAGGCAACCTTAACATGATGTGTCTGTTTTCAGTGGATTCTAAGTTTGAAAACTGTTCAGGCTTATATTTTACACACTTGCTTTCTTCCTTAGGTTGAATGTTTTTGGAACTTTTGCCAATACACTTACACTGCTTCTGCGAGAGATGTTGGGAGAAAAACAGTTAATTTTGCAAATGCTAAAAAAAACCATTTCTGTCTGTTTCTTTGAACAGCCTCACTGTTTGCATCCACACTCCGACTAGGAACTTGAACCTTGGCAGAGATGGGGCAGGAGTGTCTTTCTCTTTGTGAAAACCGATCCAGTTTAGCCGAGTTCCAAACCCTGCAGCATGGCTGTTTGCACAAACTCAGTCGAGTTTTGTTATAGGCTTGCCACTAACTTCTCAAACTGTTGTGTCGGTGGTGAGTTGGCAGAAAGCACCCACACGCCACGTGCACGCAGCACACTTGTCAGCCTCCTGCATGGGACCTGCCGAGACAGGGTGCTGTGTAGAGACAGGTGCAGCAGCCGTGTCACCTTCTATCTCTCTGAGCAAGACAAATGCAGGCAGGACTGAGAGCCAGGAAAAATCCCTTCCACTAATGGGTGTTAATACACCTATGCACTTGACCGGCTTTATTTACTTACAAGGTTATCAGGTGCTGCCTTGAGGGAGGCAGGTGGGTATCATTTCCCCACTCCTGACAGAGGAGAGACCTGAGAGGCTTAATGTGAGATCCCTGGGGGCAGTGAGAGAACAGACCTGGCTCAGGCCTCCATGAGGTTTGGAGGGGGGCATCTGGCCCCAGGCTGGGGGTCAGGCTGCAAGACCTGGGCAGGGCCCTTCCAGCCGGGCTTCCCTGTGAATTCTGTGGGCTTGGCCAGGCCGTCTGCAACCCCCAGATCCTCCCTCTGCCCGGCCCGAGGCTGCAGCCTCTTCCACAGGCAGCACCAGCCCAAGCGCAGGGCAGCAACCCACCACGGCTGTCCCTGCCCGGAGCCTGAAGGTCCTGGATCACCTGTGCTCCCGGCCTCGGCCCCACGTCTTTCTAAAGGCACCGCAAAGTGGGCAGACCCTGTGCCAGGACCCGGGGGAGGGCGGGGGTAGGGGGAGCAGGAATGTGTGTGTCGGGGGGTGTGGGGAGGTCCGGGGTGGTTGGGGGGCATGGGTGTGTTG